ATACACACACTCTACACACATACACTGCCCCCCTGCACACACACTGCCCCCTACACACACTCTACACACGTACACTACCCGATACACACACACTGCCCCCATACACTGCTGCCCCATACACACACATACACTGCAATACTCACACACACACTGCAACTGTTACACACACATACTGTCCCACACATACACTGCTGCCCTCACACACACACACTGCTCACACACTGCTCACACACTGTCCCCCTCACACACACACACACACTGCACCACTCACACACACCACTGCTCCTATGCCCTACTACTGCCCCATTTCCCAGAAGACCTCAGGTAAGTTGTCAAACTGTTCTTAAACGGTTTGACTACTTACTCTGGGAGGGGGTCCCGGCACTATTGACACCATAACCACTACACTGAGCTGTAGTTGTTATTGTGTCTGGATTATTTCTTTAAATAATCTACAAGTGCCCCTCCCGAGATCAGGCTCTGGATCCGCCACTGGTGCAGTGTGTGCATGGGATAGCAGTACGTGTGTGTGTGGGGGATGCAGTGTGTGTATGGAGGGCAGCGTGTGTGTGAGGGGTGCAGTTTGTATGTGTGTGTATGTATGGGGGCAGTATGAGTGTGTGTGAAGGGGCAGTATTTGTGTGCATGGGGGCAGTGTGTGTGCATGGGGCAGTATGTGTGTGTGGGGGGGTGTGCATGGGGCAGTGTGTGTGTGTATTTGGGCAGTACGTGTGTGTGTGTGAGAGGGCAGTGTGTGAGAGGGCAGTGTGTATGTGGGCAGTGTGTGTGTGTGAAGGGTCAGTATGTATGTGTGTGGGCAGTATGTGTGTGTGGGCAGTATGTGTGTGTGGGGGAGGAATTTTGTGTTTTGGGGGGAGGGCGCAGTATATGTGTGTGGGGGAGGCACTGTGTGTTTTGGGGGAGGGGGCAGTGAGTGTGAGAATGTGTAGCTTAAAGCAAATATAAAAATATATTTTTAATTAAAATAATACTAATAATTTATATTCCCCCTCCCTTCTTATCTTTACTGAAGGAGGGGGCATATTTCCTGCAATCCCTGGTGGTCCTAGTGGTGAATCCCTGGCAGTCCTATTGGGGAGTAAACTCTAGCCTGCAGCTCCTGAGGCTAGAGTTCACTCTTGCGAGATTCAGAGCGGCAACGATCCGTGCTCGTGAGAGGAGGAACTGGATGAACTGCAGGCTGAGCTCCCGGGACCTCTCTCCCACCCTGCTGTCTGCCAGCAAAGTGTCCATGGACCAGAAAGGGAGATCTCTGATCTCCCTACCGGTCTGTGAAGGCACATAGCAGGGCCGGTGCCCCCCTCCCCACTGATTGCTGGTCCTGCTCCGGAGCACCGGACTACTGCAGAGATTGCTGTTATCTTCTTTGGATCAACAGCAAAAAACAGATATGAAAAAGACTGAACTTGATGGACACATGTCTCTTTTCAGCCTAAGTAACTATGTAACTACGTTGTTACTGTACATATTATCTGTGATTTGCCATTTAAACGTAAATAGTTTTTCCTTTAATAATGTTTATATCTATATTTTAATGCTACACCTCCACTGTTCCTTTTGAGATACTTTTCATGTGTTTCCTCTTCTGTTTTAGTCTGGTTTCTGGAAGTGGTGTGACCTATGGAGTGTTTGAACTGACTTCAAACCTTCTGTTAGTTTTACGGTTCCTGCCATTTCTTATTGATATTTCTTGTTTGTTTTTTATGTTTATGCTAATCCATTGTAATTGAATTTTTGTTTCATACTTGCATCAAAAACCAGGAGGTCGCTTTGCTGTCAGTGGTTTATATTACCTCCTATTACTTTTCATTATACGACTTTTGATTGGTTGATATGTTTCTATCTGTTTCTTTGCTGTTGTGGCGTTCAGTAAAGAAAGTAAAGCAAAATATTTGCCTCTTGTCATTAATAGAAATTAAGATTATAGGTACACTAAAACTAGCATAATTAACAATATTATTGTATTTCTTTTTTTATATATGGTTTTGCAGTTTGCAATAAATATCTAACTTCTAAGAAACACATTACGTTTTCCCTGAAACATGACCTAGATTAAAGGGAAATATGTTTACAAGTATTGCAATGCAATCTGCGTTTTGTGAAACATGTTTAATTTATGCATACATTCTTTTGTTTTTCTGTCTCCAATACAGCCTATAACACAAAACGGCATCAGGCACATTCTAGAAACCATTAGATTGTAACAATGCCAGGTTATATCCAGGAGTCTGATTTTATTATGTTGGAGGAAGGGTCTACTGCCAGAGACCTGATGGATAAAATGATTGAAGATTTCTCTCGGTCTGTAAGTATCCAGTTTATTTTGCCAAGCACACTTACTCATTCAACCAGGATTAGTTGCTAGAGAAATGACCAGATTTTTTAAAATTGTGGGATAGCTAGCTATAGCATGCTCAACATGGCACCAGCCTATACCTCTTCCAGTCTTGTCCTCTTTAAGTGTAATTTTTGGTGTTCTAGTTTATAAAAACATATATTTTTATACTATAATAGTGAGCCACACTGTTAACATAACATTTGGTTGGTTTACATCTTTCTCAAAAGGGAACAAATGTTCTCAGTGAGCAGTTTAAAGGACCACTATAGGCACCCATACCACTTCAGCTCAATAAAGTGGTCTGGGTGCCAGGTCCATCTAGGGTTAACCCTGCCTGCTGTAAACATAGCAGTTTCAGAGAAACTGCTATGTTTACATTAGGGTTAATCCAGCCTCTAGTGGCTGTCTCATTGACAGCCACTAGAGGCGCTTCCGCGCTTCTCACTGTGAGTTTCACAGTGAGAAAACGCCAGCGTCCATAGGAAAGCATCGAGAATGCTTTCCTATGGACTGACTGAATGCGCGCACATCTCTTGCCGCGCATGCGCATTCAGCCGATGACTTCCAAAGGAGGAGGTGAGTCCCCAGCGCCGAGGGAGCCCGGAGCTGGAGAAAGGTATGTGTTTAACCCCTTCCTCCAACTTCAGCCTGGCGGGAGGGGGGCCATGAGGGTGGGGGCACCCTCAGGGCACTATAGTGCCAGGAAAACGAGTTTGTTTTCCTGGCACTATAGTGGTCCTTTAAAGGACAGAAAGCATGCTTAAAATTTTTTAATCTTAGAGAATAAGATCCATGGACTTGTGGCAATAATCGCAACTGATAATGTAGATTTAGTCGCTGTTACTGAGACACAGTATAATGAGAAAAATGACTGGGACATGGCAATACCAGGGTACTCTTTATATAGAAAAGACAGGGAAGGCAAGAAAGAGGGAGGGGTGGTCCTGTATGGGAAGGATAGCATAAAATCTAACCTAATAAAAGTTAGTGGGGCGAACATAGAGTCAGTTTGGGTAACGTTAGAATTTGTTAATCACACAGTAACTTGTGTAGGTGTGACTTACAGGCCCCCAGGACAAATAGAAGAGTTAGATAATCTACTACTTGAGGAAATAGGTAAAATGACATTAAAAGGGGGAAGTTATCATCATGGGTGACTTTAATCTTTCTGATGTGAACTGGAAAACCAAAATAGCTGCTTGCGCCGGGAGCACACATATTTTAAACTCCATACTGGGATTCTCTAAAACAAGTCATTGAGGAGCCAACTCGTAAGGAAGCTGTGACGAGAGCAATCTCGCCACATTGCATTGGAGAAGCCTGGTTGCTCGCCTGTTACCGTTGGACTATGGCCCCATGTTAAAAGACATCTTTTTCCCTGCAGAAAAGACTTATTCGTGCTTTTCTGCCCGGTGTTCGGTAGATTCAATCTACCGAACAACCGTACGAATGACTAGACCACCTGGGAGCTGGAGTGTGCCGGCAATTAGCCTCCCAGAAGCTGCAGTTAACCGCAGCTTAATTGACGAATACTGGGTGGCTGCCATTCGTATCACGAACACGAGGTCGCGGCCATTTTAAACACGCGAATGCACAGCGGTGTTCGACGCCTAACTCATGGAACTAAAAATGGACACAGTTTGGCGCGAACACCGCTGAAGCCGCAGACCTCCCTTCTTGTTAGGCAGGGGTGCACGAACGGCCCGGTGTTCGGTAGTTTTGCCTGACTGTATTATACCCCAGATAGGAATCCCATGGAGCTCATTCGTATGAGAACTAACTTTGTAAAGACTTTGGTTCCATGGTGATTGAACTGTATTCGTGTGGTCTGAGCACCATTTTGCTTAATAATGTGCGCTCAGACCTGAGCTATCTGGGGACATGTTTAATAATAATAATAGTGTATTTTAATAATAATTCTTGTGTTAGTATCCCCACGTGCATAATGGCGATTTGCCTTTGTCCTGGGAGATAATTGAATTACTTCTCAATTATCTCCAGGGCAGAGGGGAGGAAGCCAGGATGCATTGTGGGAATATAATGTGACTGTGTGTCCAATTTTGCTGATTGTCTGTCTTTTGTCACAGTCTCCCATTTGGTCCCCTAGGGGAGTGTCCACCAGGTGGGAGACCTGCATAAATACTGGGCAGGTAGCCCTCATTAAACAGACCACTGCTTGACCCTGAACACGGAGCTTTGTCTCGTCTTAGCGGGGATTTACTGAATGCTGATAGAGACTGATTGCTAGGAGTGTAACCCGCTTGGATGCTTTTCCTATTCATCTGCTAGCAGCGATTCGTATGGTTCCAGTTCGTGAGTTTGGAGTGTTACATTGTATGCCGTTCGGGAGTTTGGAGCATTCCCTTACATGCGGTTCGTGAGTTTGGTGTTCTACAGTAGCTGTGCCTGCATCTCTGAAAGGGGACGATCGCCTAAACGGTTTTAACCCCTTGTGTGCTGAAACGGTCCATTACAGAAGCCATACTAGATTTAGTGTTAACAAATGGAGATTTAGTATCAGATATTATTGTAGGTGAAAGTTTAGGATCTCGTGTTCACCAGTCAGTGTGGTTTAATATAAGAAAAGTGGGTAACCAAAATAATAGGTCAGGGTGGTGCAGTAGACATTGCTTACCTAGATTTCACTAAGGCTTTTGACACTGTCGCACATAGAAGGATTATCAATAAACTACAATCTTTAAGTTTGGATTCCAATATTGTTGAATATGTTAGGCAGCGGCTGCGTGACAGGCAACAGAGGGTTGTAGTCAGTGGAATGCATTTGAAGCAAGGTCTAGTTACCTATGGGGTACCTCAGGGATCTGATAAGGCATATTTGGGGATTTATTATTTGTGGGGTTATTGTATATATTATTTGTGGGGTTATTGGGTAGTTTTATGTTTTTATATTTTGTATTGGGCTCTGGGGTTCCTAGAATATAATTAGCTTACCAATCTTTAACGCAATTATCTCCCAGGCCCAGAGATTCCTGGGAGGGGCTTGTGTTGTATACAACGGAGACCCCTTGCTGGAGTCTGTGCATTAAAGGCCAAGTTTGGCTTATTAAAATCAGTTGTACTCCCAGAAATATGTGTCATCTAGAGACTGGGAGGGGAAAGGGCTAATCAGTACTCAGCAACGTGTTCCAGCTCGTGGAGGATTCAGCAGGGAAAGTCCTTGTGAGGACTACAGCTCCCAGGACTGTGTGTCATCCAGTCCCTGGGAGGGAATAGAGCTAGTTCCCTATCCTCCTCCAGGATTTGGAGGCTCCAGGATGGCACCAGTCAAGCCACGGCGACTGGGGCAGAAGAGTGCAGAGGTTTTTCCCTGTTCCAGCTAGGAAGCAGTCCTTGGCGGAGGTACCCAGCCGGGGTACAGGGAGCTCTGCTACATTCACACCGTCACACAAATGTTCCTCTTTTATGGTATTGCCTCACTGTATTGATTTCATTGTACAATTAATGATTAATGAGATTGACCCCTATGGCCAATGTACAAATAGTCACCTTCAATGTCAAGGGCTTCAACTCCCCTGAAAAGTGATCCCTGACACTAGCAGAAATATACAAACTAAAAGCTGACTTAGCTTTTCTATCAGAAACACACTTCAAAAAAGATGTAGCACCCACGCTGCGTAACAGCAGATATCCAATTGTATATTTAAGCAACTACAGCAGAGCCAAAGCCAAGGGAGTGGCAATACTGATCTTCATTCACATACCCTTTACATACACAGCTCACAAATCATATGATGCTGGTAGACTACTGATGGTCAAAGGCCAAATAGGCCAAAACACAGTCATGCTAGCTAACACATACCTCCCAAACAGACACCAATGAAAAACACTCAAGAAACGCCTAAAAGGCATAGTAGAATTTGTGGAGGGAATCCTAATCCTGGGAGAAGATTTCAACATTTCACTAAACTCAACTCTTGATACAACATCTCGTAGATCCACCTACCAAACACCCTCACGCAAACAACTATATGACTGTTCACAACTATATGACTGCTGGCGTACTACCCACCCTAATGCGAAGGACTTTTCCTTCCACACAGATTTCTCCACCTGATCCAATCCACTCACTATGGCCAAATCACGTGGTCGGACCATGTGCCCCTGTCTCTTGTCAGACATCCTTACAGAACTATTTTAATGAAAACACAACTCAGACTTCCACTCACCCATCTACGTGGAAAGCACATATGTGTGTACTACGTGGGGAGATTATTGCATTATCCCCTCAAAAGAAAAAACTCAGGTAAGTCAAAATACACTCACTACAGAGATCCGGACTCTCAAAAATATCCATAAACACAATTCCCAACTGAGCACGTACACAGCTCTCATTGCCAAACGCTCTGAAATAAAAGAATCATTCTTACTCACTAAACCCTCATATTATTCTCAGAGTGGGAAATGTGGTCGCCTACTTAAAATTCTCTAAAACAACCAAGACAGACAACCTTTATTTCTAAAATAAAGCCCCCGACAGGTGACCTGTGCTAAAAACTTTTAGATATTCTGACATAATTTCAAACCTTCTATACAAATCTATATAACCTTAGGGACTCACCACCTTCCGGACACTGTAACCCCCACACTCTCCCCACAGTCATACTCCCACACACTGCCCTTACACAGTTACCCTCCTACACACTGCCTCCCACACTGATACAGATACACAGATTACACATATATGCACAGATAATACACACACACACACACACACACACAGATAACAA